GAATATCCGTCCCAAACTCAAAAATCTGCCTAATCACCCTCTCTCGTTTACGGTTCTCGGGTCTCATGGCCTCTACCTAGGCCTCTCGAATGGTATCTAAGACTAGAGTGATCAACGTCATCCTCATGCACACGTCTCGGATCGGAGCACTCACTGGTTTGCGACTCAGGGCGTCGGCTACCACATTAGCCTTGCCAGGGTAATACAAAATCTCGCAGTCGTAGTCTTGCACCACATCCAACCACTTCCTTTGTCTCATACTTAGATTGGGCTGATCCATAAGGTACTTCAGGCTTTTATGGTCTATATATATGGTACACCGGACAACATAAAGATAGTGGCACCAAATCTTGAGGGCGAACACCACCGCCCCCATCTCCAAATCGTGGGTGGGATACCTCTTCTCGTGAGGCTTCAACTGCCTCACTGCATATGCTATCATGTGCCCCCTCTGCATCAACACGACACCCATCGCTGATATCGATGCATCACAATAAACTACAAAGTCCTCTACTCCCTCGGGAAGGGCTAATACTGGAGCTTCACGCAATCTCTGGCGAAGAGTCTCGAATGAGACCTGCTGCTCGGGCCCCCAGGCAAAAGTCATACCCTTACTGGTCTATCTGGTAAGAGGAATGGTAATCCTAGAGAAATCCTTGATAAATCTCCGATAGTAGCCTGCCAAGCCAAGAAAACTCCTGATCTCGGATGGGGACCTCGGCACCTCCCATAGCATAACTACCTCAATCTTGGCCGGGTCGACCAAGATCCCATTCTGATTAACGAGGTGTCCTAAGAACTGGATCTCTCGTAACCAGAAATCACACTTGGAGAATTTGGCAGAAAGCCTCTCCGCCCTCAATACCCTAAGAATCTCCCGAAGATGCTCCTCGTGCTGCTCTCTGGACCTCGAGTACACCAAAATTTCGTCGATGAACACGATCACCGACCTGTCCAACATGGGCCTGCACACCCGGTTCATGAGATCCATGAATGCTGCCGATGCATTGGTGAGTCCGAAAGGCATCACCACAAAACTCGTAGTGCCCATAACGAGTCCTAAAGGTCGTCTTCTAAATATCCTCCTCGCAAACTCTCATCTGATGATACCCAGATCTGAAATCAATCTTGGAAAACCAAGACGCCCCCTGTAACAGATCTAATAAATCGTCGATCCTCGGTAGTAGATATCGGTTCTCGACTGTCAGCTTGTTCAACTCACAGTAGTCGATGCACATCCGGTGTGAACCATCCTTCTTCTTGACAAAAAGGATCGGTGCTCCCCACGACAAGCTACTTGGTCTAATAAAACCCTTTCCCAGCAGCTCCTGGAGCTGCGAGGATAACTCCTGCATTTCGGGCGGCACAAGGCGATATAGTGCCTTGGCAATAGGCGCCGCAGCTGGAATCAAATCAATCCTGAACTCCACTTGCTTCTCGGGAGGCACACCCGGCAAATCCTCGGGGAAAACATCGGGGAACTCACACACAATCGGAACATCGGAGATAAAACTCAACCTCTCGGTGGCGTATCTCATATCCATCACATATGCTAGATTGCACATACATCTCGGCTTTAAACTCTGTCTCGCCATGGCGGCAGAACATAAAGCTGATTCAGATTTGGTCCCCTTGCCATACATAGTAAGCACTCCGCCACTAGGGTTTCGTTTGGTCACCATCTGACGCTCACAGTCAATCAACGCTCCAAACCGGCTCAACCAGTCGATGCCCACTATGACATAGACATAAACCATCATTATCGGCACCAGATCTATATGGAACTCAATACTGAAAATCTCCAACACACATCCCCGGAATACATCGGTGGCAAAAACCGCATGCTTGTCGGCTATAGAAACCTTTAGTGGTCGACTCAACACCTCGCGTCTGACACTAATGTGACGACTAAAGGTTAGAGACACAAAAGATCGACTCGCACCTGAGTAAAATAACACCAAAGTAGGCAATGAACTCACAAGAAAAGTACCTATATACAATATAGTATAAGCATAAACAAATCTCAAAAAAACAGAAATAAGGAAATACATACCAGCCACGACATCAGGTGATGCGCGGTCTTCCTTTGTTGTCAACTGGAAAGCTCTCCCGCGAGCCCTCGGAGCCTCGGCCTTCACCGGCCGACCATCAGTAGCGTGCAAGGTAACTGGAGTAGAAGTTTGGGCTGATCCCTGAGTGAGCTGAGGGCACTCGGCCTTCCGATGGCCGATCTGGTTGCGGTGATAGCAAACTACAAATCCCTTAGGATAGTCCTTCGCCATATGTCCCTCTTTGCCACACTTGTAGCAAATCCCTTCCTGACATGATCCCTCATGACTCTTGTTACACTTGCCACAAGTGTGGCCCTTCTGGCCTCCAACTCTCGTATCACCAGGATTTTCCCCCTTCGTTGTCTGCTGCGACTATATCGGTCTCTTATCTCTACCCCGAGACTCCTCCTCCTCTCTGGTTTGCAACTCTAGCTCAATCTCCCTCCTCCTGGTCGTGGTCTGAAGCTCAGCCAATGTCCGGTGTGACGATTTCGCCACGAACTCCCGAATATCCCTCCTTAAGATGCTCAAATACCGACTCACACGTGCTTGCTCGGTAGACACGTGGTTAGGGCAAAACAACGCTCTCTCATGAAACATCCTCGTAATCTCTGTCACAGTTTGTGTCTTCTGCTTGAGAGACAGAAACTCCTGGGCTAACCGTTCCCTCTCCACCGAGGGAACATACTCATCTCGGAACATCTGTGTAAACCTCTCCCATGTCACTGCAGCATGGTCTGCAGGAGTAAAACTAGTAGTCACGAACTTCCACCAGTCCTTCGCTCTAAAGCGAAGCTGGTTCAGCATAAATCGAACTCTCAGGTGATCTGGGAATGAACACGTATATAAACATCCCTCAATGTCAGAGATCCATCTTATGGTAGCAATCGGATCCTGTGTCCCATCAAACTCTGGTGGCTTCGTGTTGCTGAACTCCCAGAACAACAACGATTCACCTCCCTGTGGCCTAGCAGCAGCTACGGCTGCGGTGGCTGTAGCAGCAGCAGCCTCCGTAACAGCAGCGTATCGCTCGTCGAATGTATCAATCAGCGTGGTCTTAATATGCCCGAACATCTCAGGTATGGCCTCTCTGATAGCTACGACCACCTCCTCATGAATGATCCTGCGGATCTCCTCGTCACTGGCACTGCTGCTCTCGGGGTTGAGGCGTGTACCCACCATAATGTCTCTGAAACACAACATGAAAAATCATCAGCAACTCGTTCGAGCATACTTGCACTCGATTCCCATCCCTACATGCTCCTTAGTATCCTAAGGATTCTTACTTGGGTCGCATACAGATCCGGTGCTTTCAGTAGTACGGGCCCAATACTACCTTCCACACCAACCCGTAGTCACCCCAAGTCCTCCTCTGAGGATCCTAATTCACAAGTACTCTATCTCTCACTAGTATCAGACTACTCTCTTAGTTGGCTCCTCCTATGCCCATCTAGGTATCTCTCCTAGATTACTCAAACTCTCTCTAAAGGTTCCTACTATGTCTCTCCCTACTCAGTACACATACAGAGCAAACATCAGATAAAATCAATCAATAGCATACGTTAGGCTAAGGCATCATGAATCAGGCAACACTAGCCCTAATTTCTGAAGTACCTAGCCTATTCTAAAGCTTGTAGTTCTAATATCTCATAAATATCTCGTAATATAAACAAATATTGGTATTTTGGGAAATCACCGTTCGGGCTCTAGCTGATTGTACACACCTCTCCGTTTCGTTTTCTCTTTAAAACTCTTACTCATTTTAGAAAAAATCATTTTCAATTATAAAATTTTCTCAATTACTCAGTTTGAGTCCATACATAACCAAGAATACATCCGAATCCCTCAAACCAAGGCTCTGATACCAACTTGTAACACCGTAAATTTTCAAACAAAATTTTCATTTTCAAAACCACATAATTCTCAATATCACATTTCAAAACCACAATTTTCAAATTGTCAAAAACACAAATTCATAAATTGTTTGGATGAAATCCAGGATCCTCAAAAACATAAACTCCATCTCGTGTGTACAATCAAATCGGCGCCTTCCCGTGATCCTAAGAAGTACCTGAAACACATAACACATAACCCGTTAAGCACAAAGCTTAGTGAGTTCCACAAAATACCACACACATCTCATTAGCCTCTCATGTCTATATCTCGATAAAACCCTCCGGTCAATGTGTCTCAGTGGAGACCCTCTGGTCCCACAGCTCGGGTTGGACCCTACGGTCCTATCTTAATAAAGCTCGGAATAATGCACAACATAAATCACAAAGACATAATGCAAGATATCACAATTCTAAATATAAGCACACAGGACCATTCGGTCACACAATGTTACCACTCATGTTAAGTATAGTGAGAAGACTCACCTCGTAAGTAAGCAAGTAATCCTCGTTACCCTCGAACGGTCTAATCCTCGCCTACATGTCCTACTCATCTCTAATTAACACTTATCACCTCAACGTAAATAAGTTAAGCTAACCTCTTTCTCTAACCCTTGGAAGGGGTAAAAGACCATTTTACCCCTCCATGGTCTCTAATCCATGTCTTGACCAAACCCTAAAAGTCAACAGAAGTCAACACTCGAGTCAACAGTCCATGTTGACCCAACTCGTCGAGTGCATCTATGTACTCGTCGAGTTCCTTCGTTTCCTCAGAAATTTCGTGAAAATCCAACTTAACTCGTCGAGTCGTCTCATCAACTCGGCGAGTTACAACTCGTCCAGACACATCGGGGAAAACCCTAACTGACTCGTCGAGTCCGCTCACCGACTCGTCAAGTCCCTTCAGTCCATATTCTCATTTAGACGTTTTTAGGTGGAAATGATGTCTTATACTCTGGATCTAGACTTCTAAGGTTCACTTATCACGTAAAGTTGCAAGCTTTACGTTCATGCATGACATCTGGGGCTCAAATTGCCAAAACAAGTTCCAAAAAGGGTTTCATGTATGGAGACTTACCCAAAGCTTGATAAAGCTTGGATCTTTGGGCTCGTGGGACCTCTTTTTGTCCAGATCTGGAGTCTCAACTCCATGACAAGCTCCAGCAACACAGGAACCACAAGATAAGGGCGAAAAAGCCCTAAAACTCTCTAGAAAGAGATCTATCAAAAGAAATGCTCAAGGTGGTAGCTTTTTACCTCCAAACTGAAGCTAGCACAGAGAAACACTTGATCTACAAGCCTCTTTTTGTTCCAAGGCTTGATGTTCTTCACTCTTTTTCCAAATGTGCACTAAAACACCCAAAGTTAGCTCCTCTTTCTCTCACGAATGGATGCACACGATTTGGGTTTCTCACAGAGGGTTAGGATGATAAGGGAGGCGGAAATGAGGGCTTAAGGTCCTTTAAATAGGACACAAACCCTGAAAATTAGAGTTTTATCACCCAACTCCTACTCGTCGAGTTAGGGTCCTCCGACTCATCGAGTAAACTCTAAAATCCTGCGGCCATTACACTCTCTACTCGGCGAGTTGCTGCTCCCAACTCATCAAGTTTCCCTGCCAAAATGAAAGAAATTAATTAAATAATATACCTGGGACTTGGGATGTTAAACTATTAATGAGATCTTCAATTCTTATTTAGGTTGCGTCAAATTAACATCGATCGGTCTAAAATTCGATTTCTGGGCAGTGCAGTGCTATTCTAAATCATCAAAAAATCATAACTTCCTTAAATGAAGTCAGATTTGGACATTGTCTATATGCATGCTCTCGGTTTAACGTATACTACGAATTTCGTTTAGATCACTAAGGCTAAAAAGTATTTTGTAAAAAATTAACTTTTTACGATACGCAGTGCCGTGCCGGTTTAGTCGCAAAACTTTGACGGGTCATAACTTCATCGTTATAGGTCGGATTCCAGCATTCCTTATATGTTCAGAATCCTTGTGACATATACTATAACTTTGGTTAAAATTATTTACTCTAAATATTCTATCAAAAAGTCATTTTTAATGCTTATTGTCTCTAAATTAACTAGCTCGAATTAGCGGGGGTTACATACTTTTTCCAGACTTAATAGCCTACCCGAACGCGAGCAAATTGTCCTTAATCTCTTCTTTATTAGGCGGCAAATTTACACTTAGTGAATTTAGGACGCGACTTAAGAATCAATGTGGACTTAACACTCAATGCAGTTGGTGCTTCAACAAAACTTATAGTGCTCTCTTAATTCATATAATATCTAATTAGATAATCTTTTTTGTCTAGGTCGCCATGGTTGGATCATGATTCCATGAACCTAATTTCCCACAATCTAGATTGTAGAACTTGAATTAGGAAAACACTAATTTGATTATAGCTAAAAATTTGGGCTCTTCCTTTGAGGAATTAACCCAAAATAATTAAAAAACTCTTCAACTCACCACCTCTCCAACTATACAACTGTATTCGGCTAAGTTCTAATAGAATACGTCACAAATTGAATTCCGGGACGAAATTCTTTCAACCGGGGGAGACTGTGACAACCGTGAAAATTTGAGACAGTTCTAGATATTTATAAACTTAGTTGCACATATAGGCACGACACATACTAGACTTTGTAACTAGAAGCTAAGTTATAACCTAGCAGAAACTTGGAAACAAATAGAATCGAAGGATAGTGTACTTAGATTTCTAATTGATATGTTAATTCTACAACTACTTAACTGTAGTGACTATCCATATTCGGATCATTCTTTGATTCGAACATCTTTGCATGAATCATGTAGACACTTCGTGCACTTGATATAGAAGTGGAAATTAGGTCCAAGTCTCATAGGAACTTAAGTCAAAGTTGAAACTATGACTAGTATACTTAATTCGTCAATTACGCTAGAATCTCAGAGTCACAACATAGAAATGTCAATAAACGATAAAAATAAATTACAAACATTATTTCTTACTTGAATAAGAGTTAGGAAACCCTAAAATAATTCGAAGTCTCAAAGATTCAATTTATTTTGATATCCAAAGATTTATTAAATCTCAAGACCCTAAAAACCCAAAAAACTCAAATTTATAAACTTTAACACCTAAGAATCCATACAATTTGGTATGGACTTTATAATATCAATTTAAAATAACTAAATTTAGTAAAATATAATCAAGGAGAAATAAAATTTAAGTCATTAATATTTAACCTTATTTTCTATTCCAAAAATCAAGATTTTGTGAGTAAAAACTATATTAAGGTGCACACTTTATAAACATTTGGTATTTTTATAAAGGAATTGGAATTTTATAAAAATGGAACTTCAAAATTCGGCCCCCCTCTCTCTCCTTCAAAAATTGTCTTCCCAACACACACTAAATCATTTATTTTCTCTCACACTCCACCTCCTCCCTCATTCTCTCTTATTTCTCTCTATCTCCACCAACACCATTTCCTCTCTTTCCCTCTCTCTAACCCATGCAAATAATCAGTGAAGAACATCATTTTAATCAAAAATATTCAACATCTAGTGTTATACATCAAGGTAAAATAGAATCCCTCATATTTCCTTTACTTTACCTTCAAAGATTTCATGTTTTCTTGCATTTTCTTCTTCTCCTACACCTTTCTCTTTGAAAATCCATGTGCATGTTCATGCACTTCAGATTTGATGATGATGGTGTTATGTTTTCACCAAAAACATCTAGCATGTTGCTAGATGGTGAAAACCCATGACCTAAACCTATGTCAAATATAAGAAAGTGAGTTTTATAAGATTTAGATGTTCATCAACCAATGTATCCGAGTTCTTCCTAAAAAACATCGTTTTGAACATATCAAGTCTCTGCATGGTCTTTAAACCAACATGCATGTGATGATCTTCAAGCTTAGGTGCTAGATGTTCAAAGTTGTTGTTAAAAGCTTTAAATATGTTCATAAAAGATTTTAATCCACAAAAATATGTAAAACTTTGTTTCTGTACAAACATATTTTTTTCTAGAAACCTAGTGATATAATAAGATGATCTGGAAAGTTTATGTATTTATTCATTTTTCTTGATTTATTGTAATTTGTGCAAGAAAATGAGGTCATAAATCACATAAAATACTTACTGGGGTCATTTGAAAATTTTACTTTTACTATAAATTTATATGTAAATTATTGAAATCTGATGGATTCCACTTTCATGATCAAAAGCATTAGCACCAACAATAGCCTTATGTGGTTGCACCATTTGTCCATTGTACTCTTCCACCTAAATAACATATAAAATGAAAATGCATAAACCAGTTTTTTTAAATTTTTTTTATCATTTATTCTATTTCTAACGTATGGGAAATAGATAGGTTTATAAGATCTTATTGGAAAGAAAAAAAAAAGCAAGTATGATACATTAGAAATAATTTGATTCTAAAATTCATTTCAAACCTGAATTCATAAATGAAATATTCCCTGCATATCATTAGACATAAAAAAAAACTTGTGTAAATAAGAATGATGTAGAACCCTTTCCAACCTTAGCGTCAACAATGTTCGTTTTGTCCTACGAAGGTCAAAATTCAAAAAAGGAATGTCAATTACTATAGTTAACCCAAAGAATAACCAGTAAAATTAATGAGTTCAATATTCACTGGTCAGATCAGATCTTGGGAAAATAAGTGAATCAATTATGTGATACATGAATTCCATTTTCAGTTTACTCATACATATGAATAATATATTGAATGCAAAATAATCATTATTCTTCAATGTTGCATGTCATCGAGCATGTGGTGTGCACCAATGAAGTAGTGAGGTAAAACACACCACCCACATCCAATAGGTGGGAACAAATATAATAGAAATAAATGGCTGGTAAATAAGTCAAAAAAATGAAGCCAACGATGGAAGAAGTAAATGACAAACTAATACCCCTTACAAATTAGCACCAAATCGAGTAGCGGATAGGATAAGACAAATTGTGACTTGAAGAAGACTTGGAATCAACCTCCACCGCTGCTATTATGATGTTAATAGAATAATACGGTAGTTGCAATCGAATACTGGAAAACAAAACAAAAGCAATCAAAATTACAAACAAATAGAAAAGATTCATAGAATATTGGGCTTTGTTTGACCTTCTTTAGTAGGAGCGATCTTGTAACAGGAACCAAAACAATCACCTACCAGAAATTCACCAATGATAGACCAATATTCTGTAAGTGAATCTAAAAGTTGAAGAACTTGAGTGATGATTAAGAAGGAGAACAAACAGGGAGAGGAAAAAAATATTAGACATACCTTCTACAATTGGTGTTTGAAATGAATCGGCAAGCCAAGTAACCCAAAATTTGAAGGCAATCAGTCTCCCTAAAAACCCTAGCATCCATCAGTCCACCACTCATATCTTCTTATGTATCAACATGAATTAAAGGCTTCATAAATCGCCTTTTAGCACTTCAAGATAAGAGAGAGAAGCGACGATTGGTTAGTATGTATAGATGGAGATGGTAGATTTTGGTAGCTTTTTCTTACCTCCATCCTCCGATTGGTAAACAAAGTAAGTCGGACAGGGCGGTGGTAGAGAGCGACGACGTATACGGCTGTGCTGGAGAGGGACGATCCATAAGGTTCTAGGGCGGTGGTAGAGAGCGATGATGCATAAGGCGGTGGACTTCACCGACGAATCTAAATGGCGTTGACATTCTCTACACTTGCTACCTGCAACAGCGTCGTACGCTTCTTTGCACTCCGTCATCGTCGACTACTTGTACATGAGAAATTTAGAAAAAATTAACCCTAAAAGGTTTGTAGAGATCTCTAAAGAAGACAGATCAAACAGTTTAAAAAGGACGGAATTTGTATAGTCGATTGAGACGATGGTTTGGAGGAGTGTGGGGAGAAATCGGTTCTGACAGAAATAGAAATCAGATTAGAAGAAGAAGAAGTCGGTAGGTGGAGCAACGAGGGAAGATGGAGTGAAGGGTGGAAGGAACAGGAAGAAGTGATAATGCAGAGAAGCAGGTAGATCAGTGGATGATAGAATGTGAGGCAGTGGGAACATCGACAAAAGTGTAAACGGGTGGTGGGTTGCCCGAGGAGATAACACGTGTGTTCTGGCCATCACGTGGAAACCACAATCTTGAATAATGGAAAATCAAAAAATAAATTGAAAGAAACCCATTAAAAAAGGAAAACAAAAAAGAAAATACCAACCAATCACAGAAAAAAACTGTTCAAAGGGGCCTTACAATTAATCACCATATCATACTATACTAAGCATTTTTTCTTTCACCACGTCAATTTGAAACTCCCAACTCTTTATATTTCCATATAATTTACTTAATTTATTAATTTAAATATGTTGTTAGTTATAAACATTATCATAAATGAAAGAGTTCTTGAATTATGAATACGATATACTAAATTTGTTGACTTCAATATAATGTTAAATACATAACCTAAATTAATATATTAAATAAACTTAAAAGTATAGTGTAAAAATTAAACCTAAACTAAAATATCAAATAAAGTTTTAAAAATTAACGTGTATTTTTTAAAATAGTTAAAAGAAAAATATTAAATACGATAAATATAAAAATATTAAATCTAAAAGTCAGGTACAGCTATTTAACCCTTCTCTTTTGTCAAATTGTCAAGATTAGCCCTTGAATGGAAATCATAGCAAATGAGTACGCTGGGTGTACTCAAGAGTACGCTGCGCGTACTCATGCGCTTATTTTGGACGCGGACTCGCCTAGGTACGCTGGGCTTACCCAGGGTTACGCTGGGCGTAGTTGGCCCAGGTGCAAAACCCTAATTGTGGCTTGAGGGCTATAAAAGGAATGAGATGGTCTTGTCCCCAGCCTCCATATCAGAGAGTGAAACCCTAAGAGAGAGCCTTCCATCGTCCTTAGCTTGGGTGTGTGTGTTTTGGAGCTAAAAGTGCCTTTGTGTGTTAGTGAAGAAGAAGGAGAGGAGCTTGTGGAGGCTAGGGCTTGAAGTGCAAGTTTGGATCTGAGATCTTCAGAGAAAGGAGCTTCATCCAGAGGTATAAAGTTCAAAACTTTCCTCTTTATTTGGTTTAATGTTGCATGGACCATTCTAGGGTTAAAAGTCCCAAAGGTGGAGACTTTATGAGTGCAATGTACTCCATGGACCTAGATCTGTCCCATTTCAATGATATTTGTGTTATAGATCCATAAAAATTCCATCTTGGTCGTTGTTATGAGGTCATGCTTGAACTATGAGCTTTTTAGAGTTGGGAAATGGAATGTTATGGGTGTTAGTGACTTGTCCAACCATGCAAAGGCTTAAGTCACCAACTTTATGGATTAAGAGGCTTAGAAATGGTCAGATCTAGAAGTTGGACGTGGGTCTTAACTGTTTAAGACCCCAAAAGCTAAGGAGTCTGAAACTGGGAGTTACGCTGGGCGTAATCCCAGTACGTGCGGCGTAGGGGGTCGCGTTCCCCGTTTCTGTGAGGTCGCCGGGTACGCCCAGCGTACAGGTTCGGTACGCCCAGCGTAACCCGGAGAGTTGACTTTTGTTGACTTTTAGGGTTTGGTCAACATTTGGGTCTTTGAGCCATGAGAGGGGTAAAATGGTCTTTTACCCTTCTGAGAGTGCTAAGAGAGGGAATAGTCTAGCCTTGAGAGTTGTATTGATTAGAGTGCTTATTCCATGTGATTAGGCGGAGGCTAGAGCAGATATTACCGATTTCGAGATTACCGAGTTACCCGAGGTGAGTCTTCTCACTATGTTGTACCTGGAAGGGTACTTATGTGTGACCAGAAGGTCTTGTATGCTATGAGATGTATGTGATGTATGCGGTTATATGATATGTATGTGCTATGTATGTTATGTATGGTATGGACCAGAAGGTCAAGAGGTTACGGACCGGAAGGTCGATACGGGTAGGACCGGAAGGTCTACCGGGATTTGGGACGGAAGTCCCTGAGACACATGGATCGGAAGATCCTACAGAGTTATGGCCTGGAAAGGCGTATGTGTGGTATGTGGTATTTTGGGGAACTCACTAAACATTTATGCTTACAGTTGTTATGATATGTGTTTCAGGTACTAGCAAGGATCGCGGGAAGGCGCCGGCATGATTCGTACACACTTACGGAGTTTATGTTATTGAGATTCTGGGACATGTTTTGTTATGACACAGTGAATACATTATGTTTTATGATTATCGTGTGATTGAAAGTATGATTTAAAAATGAAAAATTATTTTGAAAAATTACGTCGTTACAGTTATTCATCGATAGCTACCGATGTTCCAAATTCTAAAGCAGTGGCGATGAAATGCGAGCGGCCCTAATCGATTATAGTGGATATGGTAGCGGTGAATGTCGGTCCTTTCGGTGGATTTGAATGGAGAGAAGGTAGAAAGAGATGGAGATGAAGAAGAAGGTTTTGTAAAGATACTGAACAGGGTCATCGGTGTTAGGAGGAGAGAGGAGAAGGCAAAATGAGGAGAGAAATTGGGAAATTACAAGGTCAGTCGATGTAGGAGACGAATCGGTTTAAGGGGACGCGAATCGATTCAGAGAAGATAGGTGGAGTGATATTACTGGGGAATAGAAACGGTAGAGGACACCGTGTTATGAACATTGGAACCAGGCAGAAAACACAGAGAAATAAAAAAGAAAAAAGGAAAAAAAAATTGGGGTCCAATAGGAAGCAAATAGGAAGCAACTCCTGGAGAAAAATGCAAAAAAAGTCCTTTGATTTTTTTCTTAATTTTTTTTTGTCTTTTTCTTTTTCAGCCCACGCGATTTCAAAATTGCAAGCATCGTTACTTATCTTTTCCCTTCCCAATGGTATCTATTTCACCGCAGACCACAGTCACCAGTCACCACACCCACTTCCATCCCCTTTTTTTTATAAGGTCCAATTTTCTGCAAGTATAAAGTCTAATTTTTTAGTAAGATTTTTTATGTCACCAGCTGTATAAGGTTCAATTATATATATATATATATATATATATATATATATATATATATATATATATATATATATTATTTAAAAATAAAAAACTTATAATAGCAATTAGAGCCTTATTTTTTTAGCTCGTCTTGGACATCAAATCCTCAGGACAAGCCCTACAACTTTGCTTCCACCACCAACTTTTTTATGAGTTACACTAGTCCTTATGTTTTTTCCTTAAACTAGAACTACTCGTCTACTCCCACTTATAAATGTACCATGCTTTCCCTTACAAGTTAATTATAATCTAAATTGTTACATTTTGAGCATTTTGAGCATTTTACTACATACCTTGTCTTAATAACTTGACATTTTCACCATATCCTTACCATCATAGTTTCTAATAACTTTCTAAACTCCCTTCTATCTCGTCTTTTTAAGCTTTCCAACATGTTTGTAGTGATAAGGTGGGATCAAAATGGTTGGGCATCATGACTTGGTCCACTTAATTACTCCTGCCATTTATTGGGTCTACCTTGAAATGATACATATGCCTCCAAGTCTCTAACCAATAAATGGGATATGTCCATCTTTCAGGTTTACTATCACATGCTTTGTTCTTCCCTAAATCACATATTATGGCCACTTCATGTTTGCATGGCATCCCAGTTACTTCCCACCTTTCGAAAGAGTAAGACCTTTCCTTCATCTCAACCATAAATTGATCATGCAAACGAAATGTGACTTGGAACTTTTACCCATGAATAAACACAACATTGTACTTTGGAAAGTTCTATTTTGATGGTCATGAGCTTTATACCATATGGTGTTAGTGGTCCCTTAGGTGGAAACGAAGGTTTTGTGAAGATACTGAACAGTGTCGTCGGTGTTAGGAGGAGAGAGAGGAGAAGGCAGAATGAGGAGAGAAATTGGGAAATTACAAGGTCAGTCGATGTAGGAGACGAATCGATTTAAGGGGACATGAATCGATTCAGAGAAGATAGGTGGAGTGATATTACTGGGGAATAGAAACGGTGGAGGACATCGTGTTATAAACATTGGAACGAGGCAGAAAACACAGAGAAATAAAAAAGAAAAAAGGAAAAAAAAAATTTGGGGTCCAATAGGAAGCAACTCCTATTCACCAAGGAGTTGTGAATTAGTATGTATATAAATTATAAAGATTTTCATAAATTGAAGACTTCTTGAATTATCAATATGGTATACTAATTTTGTGTGCTTCAATATAGTGTTAAATATATAATCTAAATTAATATATCAAACAAACTTAAAAATATAGTGTAAAGTTTAAAAACTAAAGTAATAAAAATCCAACACATGTTTTTTAAAATAGTTGAAAGGAAATTAGTAATTACGATAAATAAAATAACTAAAATTCAATTACGTTGTTTTTAAATTAATTTATAACAATAATAATAATAGTTAAAAATAAGATGAAATTTTAAAATAAATTATGTGACATTACAAACAGTTGTTGATAATTTAAATTATATTCATGATGAATTAAAACATCATCAAAAAAAATTTTAAACTTAATAAATTATAACTATAGTTAATTAAAATAGTAAGCACTTTAACTATTTTTTTCTGGAAAGACAACTTCCTTAATAAGGGTTCCATGCCCGGATAATTCATCGATGTAAATATAAGGTTATGCATCATTTCCTGGAGTAGTGCAATAATTTAAATATGGGTCAATAGTTTATTTATAATATATTTCACATGTCTTAGTAAGTCACCATAATTAATTTTATACACACATAAAATATGAATAGAGACCATTAAATGATTTGATTTTAATAAGTGTTATATTATTTATTGTTCAAATTAATTATAATTTTGCATCAACAAAATATAATAATAATTATTTTATAGTTAATAAGAATGACATAAATATTTTCAATAACGTATGATTACCAAAAATTTAACCGTATAATTTTATTCCGTGCAACGCGTATATATTCGTCTAGTATATTATATAATATACGCTCGTCCTAAATTATAATAAATAAAAAACAAAAATTGAACTATATTGATGATTTATAAATTCTATTATATTAAAATGGCATTGTGACATAAAAATTGCATTTTGCAAAAAAACAAG